ATTCATGAATTGAAGAAATTTAATCACCTGTGGGAATCTTTCGCAAATTAGTTTCCATTCTGTCTCAATCCCCTTGCACTGTGTGTACCATACCATGAGAGGCAACGTCTAAAAAATAGCCAAGTTGTAAATAAGTTGGCTTTCAAAGCCTCGCTGGTGGAGGTTCTATAAACTTGTTTTATAGAAAAGTTTAAATAGTGGATATAAATGCTTTATTATCTAATAATCGGCAAAATGACAATCTATGAGACGCCATGTTTTAGATTAGAATGGTGCAATGTACGGGATGTGGCCCACAGAACTTATTTACATGGCTCAAAAGGACATGGTATCCCATTATGATTCTTATTTTTCACGATCGGCGTTTTTGTATTGTGGAATAAAAAGTCATTTGAGAGGGACTCAAGAGCGTGATAATTTTGTAGAATTGCCATGTGATTAATTATGTAGTTATGGTAGTTCAAATGTCTACCGGTAAAAAGGAAATATGTCCTCCTTTTTGTGTATCTCTTCATGACTATATTCAATTTACCTTGGAATTTATTTTTCTTTTATGCTTCAAGAACTTTTCTTGCACCTTAAAAGCATTTTTAAATAAAATTAATATATTATTCAAGAAGTTAAATACCAAGTAATGGAAGACCATAAAAATTTCTCTGATGCAAAGTGAATTCATTGATCATTTTGCTAAACTGCTGTTAATGAGATGAATCTATTTTTTTCTCCAATTACTGAATCATTCGCTTCCAAAGTATCAGGAAATGTCTCCCACAAGGTTATTGCTGTTAAAATTTTGTACTATCCTTGCGCTCCCAATTTTGCTTTTGCAAATGATGCCACCCCTTGAGTTTTTTTATGTGAATGGGTGTCAGCAAATGCTGTAACACCAGCATTCTAGTATTTATCCGTTATAAAAATCATACCAGTTTGTTGATTGCTTCAAGATTGTACGTGATCCGATGTTCCAATCCCATCACGTCCTGCCTTATGTCATACTTTGCATGCATTCGTACTAATGGAAGTATATCACGATTTATGTCAATACTGACTATATGAGTGGGTAACAGTTGAGAAACGTCAATATCCCTGCAAACAAATGTGAAGAGAAGTAATTGTGTAGTCAGTCAGTAGATGGTCTACTGCAGGGGTGTAGTTCGAGAAAACGTGCCAATTTTCAATTTTGAATTGCCTGCGAAACGAGTGTTTAATTTGTTCAACCTGGTGTGTGCAAGTAATTCAAATCGCTTTGCATTGCAAAGCTTATACCAATTTATTATCTAAGCCTATGAACCAACAGCTAGCTTGTGTTAAGCGAACAACGCATATCATAAGACCAACAATCAAAATTTTCATGCTTACAACAAGGCCCCGACCGATACTGCCTACCGATACCGATTAAACCGATACCGATGGTTTTTTAAAACTAGGCCAATACCAATACCGATGTTTCCACACATAAAAAGATGGCTAAAAGTAACAAGAAACACTCTGAGAATTCTGTGTTTTTCTTGCAAAAGAAATGAAATCGATAACTCGTGCAATGATGACAAAAATTGCATGAAAAAATTTAGAGGTCCCTAAAATTGGGATTTTAAAAACTGTCGAGTGTTGATAGTTGAAAATTGCACATACTCTCAATACTTCATTTACTCAATTCTGATGGATTCAGTTTCAATAAGGCATGCAAAGCCTGTAGATGTTATATTAATCCCATTGTCATTAGTCTTAACTCTGTTTTTTTTTTGTGTAATTTTCAGCAAAATGATTAACAACCATTAATATAAATAAAAACTGTTGCCCAAGAAATTGTGAATTGCATTTAGGGAGGTCTCGAATTCGGAGCTAGGGATGACATTATTATTTGATGATCGTATTGTTACTGTACAACAGCGATCAAAATGCAAGAGTGCAATTATTTGTCATAGTAATACCCGTACAAAACAAAGTATTGCCATCATAGGAAATAACAAATTCCATTGAAAGCGGGTATTGCCATTTTAAGGATCCCCCAGCATGTGTTTCAGCTTCAAGTAACCAGTACCACGTTCCTATGATTACTGACTCAATAGCTTCAAATCGATTCTATTTATAGATCTAGCATTTTGTGCCATATGCTACTACTTTGTCTTTTTCCCCTTGTGTACTCTCTTAAAAACGTCATTATCGATAATAACCTTCCAGTTATGACCATGCACGAAATGGATAATTACATGCCATCGGGCATTAGGAGAGACGCCTTTTAAACAAGCGATAAAACTGCTTTCCCGGCGTAATTTTTTACACTTTCGTAGTCACATGATTGGCCGATAACTATAGTTAGAAATTTGTGAAAAACAAGGCCGATATATCGGTCGGGCCCTACTTACAACGACTAAAAATCCTATGTTGAATAAAGGTGCGGCCTGTGGTTTCACTCAGCTATCCATATCTGACTCTCCTGTATTAATTGTTGCACACCCATTTCTTCCGTAATATGTGTACCAGGTTATAGTTAGGCCATAATTTTATTCTGATTTGTCTTATTTTAGTTGTATTAAGATTTTGGGGACTGACTGTGTTAGCCAAGTGAATATACCATACCCCCTTCCCATAGGCTTCTGTCTCTTTTCGCAACTTGATGTAAAGTAGGCGAACAAAATTAGTTACCTACATATTGATATACACACTTCTGGACTGCCACACCCTTGGTCTAGTGGTTAAAGCATTAGTCTTAACTGTGTTGGCATCAGAAATCACAATACCCTGTCCTTACTTCACCCAGGGTGAAATGATCGGGTAGGCCAGGGATCGTGAACCTCTTTGGTCAAAAAAGCCATAAAAGGTACATACTTTCAATTGCATTTCCGTATGAGCCATATAGCATTTCTTCACTTAATTATGTCTGAAATTTTGACTCAAAAGTCAACTCATACAATGTCAATATACATTAAATATGACTTCTGATGCTGCATGTTGTCGCTGAGGTCCTTGAACGGCTGCTCCTTTGCAGCACAAGTTGAAATCTACGATACTCATCAGCCTTCTTTCGTTTAGGCACCACGGTAATATTTTAAAAACTAGCTTTGCTAGTCCTATCTACCTAAATATGACAAATTTTGCCACTTTGTGATGTCACTAAATATGTTCCAGACTCCCCTAGTTTTGTCACAATGCCTGTCTGGTAATTCTCTTTCAGAACATTGACATGCGCAGGGCGCCCGTTCTCAAACGAATCGGCAAATTTGGCTATAAAAGAGTTTGAAATCTCGTAACAATACTAAGCTTAGCCTTAAGATTATAGATTTTTCTGGGTGTACTGTACCAAATGTTGTAAGGTACCCACTATCACTCAATATGCTTCTAACCCAAGAAAAACTTTGGATGGCTTATAGTTTTCAAGATATCTTTTGACTTGCAAAATTGTCTTATCTAACAGCAATATTTAAAATCACAAACCAGTTAAAATTATCGAGGGGAAGGATGTGATATTTTTGAAGCTAGTAGCAAGATTGAGTCTTTTAAAATGAAATTGAAGGTTTGGCAGAATAATGTATCAAATTGTGATTTTTCCGATTTTGAATTTTTGGAATATTTCATTGAAACCCGATGATGGAAAAATGGAAACGTAGACATGAAAACCAAGATGAGATCAATTGTACATACCGTGTTTCCCCGGAAATAAGACCTAGCTTGGATTTTTAAAATGATTCTAATATAAGCCCTCCCTTAAATAAGTCCTAGTCGATAGCGCGAATTTTATTTTGACCTATTCGATAGCAAGACACATACACATTTCAAATGCATGACTAATAATCTATATTTAGCAGTTCCAGTTACTTTAAATAAAGACGTGCTATCTATGAGTAAGCATATTTGAAAAGCTCGTAATTCTCTACTTTGTAATTTTGTTTATGATAAATGAAAATATAAGACACCCCCCCCCAAAATAAGTCCTAGTGATAATTTTAGAGAGAAAATTGAAATAAGACCCTGTCTTATTTTTGGGGAAACAAGGTAAGCATCTTGATGTGCTACTGCCAAACTTCGGAGCCTATATTCCGGATGTTGAATATCAGAATCTTGGTTCTCTAATATGGGTCGTTCACTCACAAGTGAAAAGGTTGCTCTTGAACACATAATTGGTGAACTGCGTGAATTACAATCAAATTTTGTATAAAAGGCAGAGTTCAAAACATATAAAAACTACAACTAATTTTAGGCAGCACTATTAGAAGTTCCCGAGTATCGCAATCTTTCACAAAAGGCTGTCACCATTCTCGTACGAAGCCTATAACTTTATACGACATACCTTTCCGAGCAAAGGTTGTCTGCACTCATTGAAATTGAATTAAAAAAAAATGACAAATGGCCGATGGAATCCAAGAGCAACGGTCACATTAACTAAATAAAAAACTATTGCGCCAACATAAACATATATATATATATACCTTCTAAATATTGAGTATTTTACGTATCAAAAATGTAGGATGGGCGGGGTGTACGTGTACCAGATTTTGAGAATTGGTTGAAAGGGTGTACCATTACAAAAAAAGTTGATGAGCACTGGCTTACACTGATACGTAGAGAGCCACTGAAAGACTGACATCGCTCAAATTCGAAATTGCCTTTTAAATATTACTATACCCTCAGTGATGTTCAGCCCTAAAATGTATGTATGTGTATGTTAATTACTGCATTGCCGTAGGAATTCAAAATGTGAGTGTGTTACATAAAAATGTTACTGCCAGATCAGTATTTCCTCCCTACACTCAGTAATACCTTTGTTTGATACAGGGCCCTATAACAAGCAGGCAGTGATATCTCACGAATTACGATATGTACACAGCTACTATAAAAACTGGTATATTTTTCTTTTTGGCATTCGTATCAAATTTATCACACCCTTGGTAAGAATGGGGGGATGCAATCTTGGGTGCTAACACAGCTAATGCTTAACCGCAGTGGTCTAGAAAACACATACTTGAAGAAGCTAATTATAGAATTTATCTTCCAAACCTTAAATTTTTATCCTGTTGGGTTTCCAGAACTTGGTTTTGGGATATTTGTCATGTGTTGAACAATTTGTTTTGCACCTTCTCCCTCCTCAGTGTTGGACGGTAGGAAATTTAATATTGAACTTGCCGAAGAAAGTTCCCCCGCCTCATCACAAATTGAGGGAAGTAACTGAAAAGAGGTTGATGTACTTTTCATTATCTATCAAGAATGAGCATAAAAGACTGTCTGAATACTGTCTAAAGACAGTATTCCACACTCACTTGCTCTGGATATAATAAATAAATCCTGTTATGGAGTTGGCCTGTGACAGTTTTACTCTTATGACTGACAATGCCCAGCCTACACACTGCTAAACTAGTGAATCTCAAAGTTTGGGTCGCAATGTATAAATATACATTACTTCACCTTGTTATAGATGGAAATATACTCTTTTGCACTTTTTCCTCATTTTCATCATGTAAAATATCTCCAATACATGTTCTTTCGCACTCACTTAGAGATTTTTTGTACTGGCATCTGAATATAAATTAGTCGAGTAATACTGGGGTAAGCATGTCATCCAGGGGTGCACAGTGCAGGAAATGCACCCAATGGTAATGCCATAATGAACGTGGCACGTGAATGGTTTAGTAAAAGTAATTCTTGCATCTATGAAAGTTTTAATAACTTTATGGAAATAAACCAAAGACCTTGTTTATTCACACAAATGTGTGGGGGGTCCCATTGAAAACTTTTCAAATGCTTTCGTGATATTAATTGCGGAAACCACAAATGACTTATTTCCAGCAATATTGAATATATAGATGACGCTGACACTCATCTCATCTCTGGACTTGAGGTCAAACCAAATTTGGTATGCATATGACGTTTTATGAAAAAATTCATTATTAGAGTTTGCACTCGAAATACAAAAATCTAAATTTGTCAATTGCAAGCATGTACACGCACGAACAAGCATTCTCAATCACCAAATATATTTTAAACACGCACTCTGTTTCGATTCAGTGATGCACATCCCTATTTCTTATTTTGGGCCCAAAATTAAATATATAATTGGTCCATTAGGATTGTCTTTAATGGAAGCAGTAGTTTTTCAGGACATTGAATTGTTTCAGTAAATGGTTATTAAGTCTGTTTACAATACCAACAATTATTTGAATTTGGCATGGCTCACAACAAAATTATTTTGAGAATTTTTGCATAAGTTGTGCTCCCTTGAGTTATTCAAACAAGAGTGTACATTCTAGAGCTGTGTAAAATTATCATTCATTTCAAGATCTGCATATTAATACTGATATATAATAATGAATCACCACTGCGAAACTGTAATCTAGTTATTTCAAAATACTGTACCTTTTTACTAGCATATTTTGAAACTTTATGATCAGGTCCAGCTTTTCCAGTGATTTCGAAATTATCCGTCTCAAGGATATATTTTAGTGTTCTTGCTGTAAAACAATATTTATATAAAATGCTGCTCTTGCCATATCTGTTTATTTGCATGAAGGCCTACTTAAAAACCCACTTCTTGTTACTGCATCGGATATTATCATTTTATGGTATCACTGCAGCTACAAATCTATGGCATATCGCTATTGTGATAGAGCTGCTGGCATGTAGGTCCTATAGCTGACTATGGCCCACGGGTCGAATCCCGTCAAATTCAATCTGGTCCGCCTGATGCGGCCACAATCAAACTAAAACCAAATTTTGATGTTTTAACTAAAAAATAGCTCAAGGAATTTGTTAGGGTTGTAATTTATATTGAAATTCGGCATGAGGCATATTGTTTTCCACTTTTGCTTTCGTATTGTTCATGAATTGTAGCCTTTTACGTCACACTTACATGGCCCGCCAGTCTAGGTGGGCAAAAGTTTTGGCCCATGGTTCATATATTCTGAGAGTGCAATATCACAGGTCGTTTAAGTAGTACAATGCTGCAATACATGATATTCGAAAGCCTGAACACACAAAAGTTACAAACCCTGATCTGAAAAATTCATATCTTTTTTCACTTGTTCAATACTGCATGGTATTGTATATTCTGCCAATGCATTCTGGAATGAATCTTGTCGTGGTAAGTCTTCATTTATCATCCTGTAAAGTGATTATTTATATCGATAAATCAAAACTTCATACGTTTGACATATTTTTGATATACTCGGTGGCATAGTATGGCAACTGGGTGAACTAAAGCTTAAAAAGGTTATGTATACATGCCCCAGCCAATGGGGAGTACCTAAATCGAGGGTAATTCAATAATTCTCAGAGATTATTTCATACGATCACTGCCATTTAATAAACATGAAATTTTTCTTTTTACCCGGCGCGGCGGGATGGCGCATCGTGCTAAGCGTTAGGAATACGCTCACCACCCGCATCTCTGATTTACCCTTCGAGGGATCGCAGGGTCGAATCCCATGCGGAGATGATCATGTGCAAAGAGGATTGCTGGACTCCTCGCCGCAGTAGGGTGGTTCACGTAACCGCTGGTCGGTTACGGCTTCCTCCACCATCAAGTCCATGCTTCCGAAAACAAATAACTGGCTAACTAATCCCATACCCGACCTGGATTGGGTTAACGGACGAGAGGCCGTGGTTCGCCATATGATTGAGCCGTCTTATCGGCTTTCCTTCCCCCCCGGGATAAATATGTAAATCCTATCCTATCCTACTAATGAGCTAAGTGAGATTTTAGTGATTCCATGTAGAGAGAAAAAGAGAAAAGAGAAAATCTTTGTTTGCTTACTTATAAACAGGCATCAAAATTTTTTTGGAAGTCTCTTTCGCCAGTAGGAATAAACCCTCTTTATTTTCGAAAAATCTCTTGGAAGTATTGGACATGAAATGCCTGAATCCATTTTTTTCTGTCCACATCGGTAGCCCAGCAAGTATGATCTTGAGATTCCATGCCCTGTAATAAAAAGGTTAAATATACATCAGATTTGAATTGTTAATAACTGTATATTTTTTTTTCTCATTTGCTCTACACAGGATTCTATCCTAAGACCTTGTTGTTAGGCCTATCGGCATGTAGGTGGGATACATTTATTGCGAGTTTCTTGTGATCTTTTCTAAAAGTATTGGAAAAAACCTCGCCGTCGTTAACTATTTTGGACAAAAAATTATGTCTTTGAATTTAACATATTTGGTAGGTTTGTATTTTTTTTGTTAACATATAATAATAATAGGCCCATGCTATGTGTGGATAAAGTGAGAGTCAATTTTTTTCAATTTGTGGTAAAAGCAGGGCCGATTAAAACTATTGTTATTGATGGGAAGGGAACCCGAACTTTTTTGATAAATTTTTTTGCTAATCTAGACCATAGGTTCTCAAAGTGCTCCGTACGGAGCCCCAGTGCTCCGCGAGAAAAACCCAGGGTCTCTGCGAGCTATTTGATTACTCTTCTGACTCAAAATTTTGTAACTGTTCAAAGAAGCAATGACAGCTTTGATAAAATCTGACAACAATATAGCCTCGAAATATGGTAGAGAGGCGGAATTAGAAAATGACATTATTTTAAAAGCAGGAGCGCAGCCAGGATTCTTAAGAGGGAGGTGGTTCAAAATTGGGAATCGGAAATTTCCCCGCAACATTCTTCGCGATTAAAAAATGGATAATGAGATTTCTGTTTGCGTAAAATATTCAATCCATGACCGATGCCGAGCATTTAACGTGTCTAGTTGTAATTGTGCTCAACGTTATTTCACGTTTTGAATCGAGATTACTATTTGGATTACTAAAATGAAAAAATACCTATTCTAAAATACACAAAATATGTTGATAAACTGCCAACTATAAATAAATTGGATTCGTATTTTTTGCGATCTTGGGATTTGTCAAACTTGATTTGTTCTTTTGCACTTGAGATTATTTTAAGCAGAATATCGTTTAAAAAATCACAATGTCTGGGCAAAATACGAACAATTGAATTTATTTTATTGCATTCGGCTCCGTCGGTAGTTTCAGAATGAAAAAAAGTACATTGCGGATCGCGCGCACAATTAATTGCGTGCGGCTCCATCGGTAGTTTCAGAATTGGAAAAAAGGTACATCACGCGCACAATTGACTGTGTTTCGATTTCGCAGTTACTACGATGAAAACCTAACATAACACCAAATTTTGTGATTTACAATGTCTATATAAGCGTTTTCAATCTGAGGTGAGTCTGCTGAAACCAAACATGTTTTTCACATTGAACTCATAATTCCCCACGAGAATAAGAAAGCAATTAACTGCGTCATTGTGTAACAATATATGTATATGCCGAGGGAAATTTTTGATTTAGGGAGAATAAACACCGACGTAAAGATGTTTAAAACACGCCATGCTGACGAAAAAAATCGGCGATTGTAACAAAATGAAATCGCGCATGTTATTAGTGGCCATTTAAGTCTTCCAAAAATGTCAAAAGAGAAAAGATTCGCCCCCTAATTTATTAATATGTTCATCAAGTGTCAAATTTACAGCTTTAGTATAAAATTTAGATTTATCCATGACTTGTGTAAACCCTATTAAAGAAGGGTTCAGCATTTAAAATAAGTAAGGGAATTAAAGTAAAGTTTAACTTACCTAACTCAGGAATATTAATTAAGAGTAGGGAGAGTAACAATTTTAACATTTATTTTGGGGCTCCGCGAATAATATTCAACCTTTCAAGGGCTCACCAAAGGCAACACTAAAAGTTTGAAAACCCCTGATCTAGACAATGATTTGTTGAAATAAGAATTTTTATATTATACTAAATTTATGTGAATATGAGACTTGAATTCAGATATGACATACCTGGTAGCTTGAAATATCATATCACAACTATACTGTATCAAAAGTAACATTTTAAATCTAGCATAGAAAATAACCTTTTTTGTGTCTATTATTCTGTGTAGAAGACTGAAGAAGAACAAAATAAAATCGTTTATATCCTGTTTTCCAACAAATTTCTTCAAAGTATCTTCCAATTTTTGCAACAAATAGCCACTGGTATCCATTTTTGAATCTGGATCTGACAGAATCCTGTGTTAAAAAAAAAAGATTTTCGGATCAAATTGATCAAAAATACTAATTACTATCCAACATTTAAATAGGGGAAATGACATTGCCACACATTGATCAAAAAATGAGTTTTTGGCATTATTTTATGTTTGATATAGACCAGTGGTTCTCAAGCACCGGTCCGCGGCAACCTTGCTGCTGGTCCGCCAAATATATTCCAATATGAATATATTATAAGCAAATTGCAAAATACAAAGTTTTGACGGCATGTCCATTAATTTTATGATTTTTCAACTCTTATTGATTCGTAGTACCAGTATTCGCCTAACAACCAAACTTAGTGAAAGGTCCTCTACCCATTTTAAGCTCTGAACGGCTGGATGTTTGTTAAATTCATGACCTCATAACGGCGAGGAAGGTCATAACGTTTGATAGCACATAGTACTAGGGTTGAGATTTCGGAGCCAGTTTTTGAAATCCCGGTATTGAGCCGTATAATCCAGGGATTTTTCGGGATTAAGTAAAAGATTGAAACAACTTGCATGACGATAAAATCACTTATTTATTTCATGTAATATCGACACAAAAATATTATAGCATCTAGGGCAGTGGTTCCCAACCTTTTTTATGTCGCAGCACACTATTTAGCTATTTAAATATTCGCGGCACACCTATCACAAAACACCGATCACGAGCTTAGGTTTTGCTCGCCGTTTCACGTTACGCCCTTATTATTATCACATGTATTGTCACCTTTTCACAACTTAATTCATTTTTATTACAATTCAATATGTTTCTCCCATTTCCAAAATCATTCAATAGTGGTGTTGTCGGCACTTGCGAGAGAAATGAAAGAGGCAAACAAACTGTATTTTATTACAACAATTAATATAATCGCTAGAAACAATAAATAGGTTTAAAGTTGTTATAAACAATTTTCAACGCTGGGCGTATCGTTCCACGTTATGAATTTCGTGCAAGGACCGAGCATAATTTGATGGCAAAGATCATAGCATTTACTATTTTGAAACGCTTATTCGACTTTTCAGAAATTATCCGAAAATGATAACCGTTTGGTTAACCGGGTGGGCAAAATAGTATATTTTCATTGAATCGAATAATTTTAACGAATTGTCGAATATCAGGTTGAAATTTTATTCCAATTTTTATCTTTTGAGTCGGCTTTGATCTTTTTGTCACTGTTTGTATATTAACTGTCTCAATTTTAAGCTAAAAGTATTATCATTTCTGACGCCGAAATGCGGATATTTTTGAAGACGATAGTTGACCTTCTTGAATTTACTTTTCTATTGTGGCTGTTTTATTTTCGTATTAAATAGTGAATAAAAACCCCGCAAATTCATTGCGTGAATCCTGAATGCTATTTTGGGTTCAAATTATAATTAAATAAATTCTACTAGTCAAATAATAATTCCTTGGTAAAATTTCGCACAATATTTCCACACTCAAACTGTACGCGTGGGTGGCTTTTTTTAAAATAAGTATTAAATAAAATGATATAACCTACAATTTGTGAGAATATCTGTTATGTGTATAACAAAGTCTTAAAATCCCGGGATTTTTAGGAAATAATTGCGGGATCGGGATTGAAAAAAACAGTCCAAACCCGGGATTTCGGGGTCGGGATTTCCTGGGGTCCCGACCCTACATAGTACGTTTCCTGATTTAAAAATTCTCAGTTCGCATGTTCCGTAATTTGACAGTAGGCCTATAACCAGACATGGACTGGTTGATTTGTTAAAAGGTTGCTGATTTTAAGTTCTCTTATCAACAATCTTTTCCAAAATAATATTTATGAAACATGCTAACCTAATGAAGTAGAAGTATATTGGGTATTATACTATTTTATAAAACTGTTTCAATTCAGTTCAAGATTCAGTTTTGATCAGTTTCACTTGAAAATGAAAAAAAAATATCAATAGTTACTTACTTTTTTACATTTCTTGGGTTTTTGGTATAGCCAATGAGTAGGCAACAAAATATTAAAACTTGTACAAATAGTATTGTTTCTTGCGGAACTTCATATGCAGTATCTTCAAATATTTTTGCTGCTTTGATACTACTTGTTGAAGGTTTATCATTTGCCAAACTATCTAGCATATCCATGAGATAGCAGTTTTGTTGGACTAGGGCTTGAACAGACAGTGTCAGAAGTTGAATTAGGTATGAGTACATTTTTCCAATGTTTGAATTTTGGTTTAGTATCGATTGTAATTCATGGTCTAGTTTGACACGTTCATCCAGATTTTCGGGGGAAATAGCAGCACTTTCTGCATGATCATTAGAACAATGATCCCCAGTTGGTTCATTCCATCTTAACACCACTGACCAAAATATGTCCAGAAATATAGACTGGCCATCAGTCTCTTCAGCTAGAGAAACAGGAACCAGTGCCTAAACATAATAAACATATAAGCTGTTATTAGTCTTTGCATTTTTCATTTAGTGTTCTGGTGAAATAGAAATTAAACTTACTTACCTTCGTTACATCACATCCCAAAAGCTGTTTGAACCAACTTATTCCATACTTGCGACATCCAACTTTTATTAAGAATAAATTCAAGTTTGAATATATTTCGTGACTTTTGAACATCTGTGTAACTTCATGTATAGGGCCCATAAATTCAGTATTTTCAAATCCGCCATGTAATCGTGCCTGATGTATTTTCAAAGCAAGGACTCGCATGGATTGTCTCAGTGCTGCAAACGCTGACAAAAATTCCATGCTATATTGTACATGCTCATTCTGAAAAATTATTTCACAGAAATTTTGAAAATATTCGTTACAATGGGCCCAGGCAGTTTGGCACTCCACTTTTTGCTCCATGAGATAAAGTAGAACTCTCACAAAGTCTGTAAGTTTATCTTTGTTCAAGTTTTTCAATTTTTTCTCAATTTTGTCTTTTATTTCGTTTTTTGTATTGCATTCCCTCAATAGCTCGGATAATATAAAACTTTTTGTATTGACATCCAAATCTAAAGCCATAGTTTCCAAATGCTCAATTCCATCAGAATCATCAGATTGTGCATCATTAGCATCTTCGTCGAGCTCATCAGATTGCCAATCTTCTTCACAGACTAACTCGAAAAAGAGACGCACCAAATCGTACCCTTTTTCAAATATTTTCATGCTACATACACTTTTTATAAATTCTTTAAAGAAGCTAGTGCAGTTTGATTTGAATTGATTTAATTTATTCATTTCGTTTCTTGGCACTGCTGGAAAAACGTCATTGTCTTCTAGCTTGTCGTCACATGTTAGACACTTTCTAGGATCTCTGCTCATGATTTTGTTCTTGTAACAAGTTTTACAACAAAAATGACCACATTTCGAATGCATAGGCTGTTGGAATGGTTCACCACATGAGCAATACTCACTCCCCCATTTCACTTTCATTTTTATGTTAACCATATCATAACATTTCTCAAGCATTCCACATATTGATAGCGTATATTCTACCCAGTAGTTGTCGTTGTCGTTGTCCTCTGATTCTTTAGTTAAAAATTTAGCTGCCCACACCAGGATTGGAACATATTTTTGAAGCTCTTCATTTGGTGTCAGTAATAAAACTAGAATGTTCAGGAGGTAAATGGGATTCCAATCATGCATTAGCTCGAAAACTTTTTTGTATCAAGTGAAATTTTGATGGAGTTGAGGGTATGCTGAATGTTATTTGAGTTTTCAATCCACGACATACATTCTCTGGGATCACTTTCTGACATATTCTTAACATCATCTTCTAGTATAGTTATAGCAGATTTTAATGCAGATATGTGTATGTTCGATCCATGCATATCAACATCTTTGAGCCAAGTATCGACAAGGCTAAGAATTGTAGGACATGCCACAAATACTTCCGACAGTTTACTCAAGTTTGCCTTGACTTTTCTGTATGCGATATATGCTGTAGAAATATAATGAGATGCTGATTGAGGTTCACTAGGAATCAACTTAGCTTTGTGATAGTTGTTCAGCAATTGATTTGCGACTTCTTTAACCACTTTAATGGCAATATCACTTTCTTTATCCTTGTTACATTCATTTCCCGGTATATAATTAGTCTTCACCAGATCACGAATATAGCCATTTTTTATTTCCTCATAATATTTTGTACTTTCAATAGCTTCATATGCCCAAAAGTTTTGGAATACTCGTATTACTTTTATTTCTTCATTTTCTGAGTTCTCCATATCTTCCCATGTATTTTCAAGAAATTTAGTTATACAGAAGCTGAAGGGAATGTCACATAAATATGTTGGGCATGGATGGTTGGGTGTGACTGCTCTGAAATCATTTGAACTAATGCCTTTTGGTATATCAAGGGGGAAACAATCTAGTATTTTGAACCAAAGATTCAACTTCCAATTCGACCTTTCCATAATATGATTCAAATTTCCATGAACGTCGACTGTACTGATGAAATGCGCTATTAAATTGGATAAAATGGTCTTGAACCGCAGGAGTAACGTGTTATAAAATGTTCCACTTTCCTGTAAGCTTTCCTTCTTCTTTGCTTCAAGAACCATCCAAATTGAATACTCAAACTCTGATTCAATAATTTTCAGTGCATTGTGGAATTTACACATCAACTTTTTTCTGAGCATTCCATTTTCTTCAAACATAGTTAGCAAAGATTTAAATCGTTGCAAATAACGTTGTTGTGCATTGCTGGACCCTTGTATTTTTCCAAATGCATTTCCCAGGCAATTTTGCAAAAATTTTGTGGTACGTTCTGGATCAGTTTCAAGGACATGAAATAAGTCAAGAAAATTTGACTTCATCAAATGACAAGATGGCAATAAAGCTGAACAACATGTCTACTTCATCCAAGTACACCAGTTGAAATTCTTCACAAATTTGAACTCTGACAGATTGAGTATAAACACTCCTTTCAACTGACCACAGTATGATAACAACAATTGGGATACGGAGATTCTCTTTGTTTTTGGAATCCCAAACATGCTTTGCAAATTCCATCAGTTCTCCATTCCGTTCTGCCTGGGGACACTGCAATATCAATACAGCACCTTGAGTGCAAGTTAGTTCCTCTTCAGAAATTTCCCTTTTGCAACGATTCAAAAAGCAGTCTAAGTCTTCTTCCAATTGATGACGTGCTTCATAGGCTTTTAAATCCAGTATCATTACACTGTTTCCCGGAAGGTTGAGCTCCTTTTCAATGGGAAGTCTACTGTGAGCAGGCAAAATGTTAGAAAAAGTTACAACTTCGAAAGAATGTACTTTTCTCTTATCTTGTAACGAATCTTTTAACATATCACAAGAATGTACTTTTCTCTTATCTTGTAACGGATCATTTAACATATCAGAAGAATGTACTTTGCTCTTATCTAGTAAAGCATCTATCAACAGATCCATCAAGTTGAAGTGGATATTGGATTTGAGATATCTGAGTTTATCCACATTGTCGTCACCAAGGCGATAAATTGCATCCAAAGTGGCTGTTTGCAAAATGGCTTGCTTTCCGCTTTTTATATCTCCATTGCTGCGTAAAATTGCGCAACTAGCAAAATCTTCCTGATATCCAATGAATATATCACTAAGTCTGAAATCTAGCGAGACAAATGTTTCCATCCAAGTTTTCAGGTCATTGGCTTTAGCAATATCAGAGTCCTTCAAGAGACATTCAGCATTTAAAAAATGCTTTTCCAGTCGATTGATCAGGGGTATAGGATATTCTTGAACCTTTTCTTTATTTTCAATAATAATGAGCCTGAAATTTTGATTTATGGACGTTTTGACGCTATGGCCTTTGAAGCCGATATCGACGTAACGTTTATCACCAAGCGTAACGTAGTGTTGATTCAAAGCATCATAGAATGACTCATGAATTTCTGAAAGATTCAGAAGAACTACCGTTTCACCAGTTTCCATGTAGGTTTTGATATGTCTAACATTTCTGCAATATTCAGTGAAATTTTTATCTCCAGGGAAAGCTGAGCCAAATACAGGTTTCCATGTTCCTTGCTCTCCTATTATGCCCTTAAGCAAAATTGATATCAAGTTTAGGGATGCATGTGAATTTGTTTGCAACAACAAAAATCTACTGTCTGTTTCTCCAAGATTTGTTTCCACAATGCTTGTAAGAGGAATTGTACCTGGTTCAAATGTTGGGAACTTTTTTTGCAAATCTTGTTTGAAAACATTGGATACATCATGAGCTGAACCACTAAAATTCCTTGAAATGGCTGTCCAAACTTCTACCACATCACTTGGATTGGGCTGAATGGATTTGATGAGACTATAGAAATCTCTCAGACCAAAAAACTCAATAGTTTGGTTTGTATATAGCTTCATGTAAGTGTTGGCCAATTCTTTTAACAAGCTTCTTGAATTTTCATTTATTGAGTCTTCGCCACATATGCTGACAGCACTATTGATCAATTCGTCTTGTTTTGGTGGACTTCGGAGAAGAAATAACCCACGGTTGAGTTTTGCTGGGTCCAAAGGCCAGTTAGAAATTCCATAAAATCCGCAATTGGTTTTGTCGTTTCGACCACACGGTGTGAATCGAGCAATGGATGCAGAACCTAGAACAAAATTACAATTATCATTAGATCAAGACAGTGTGCATGGTCTCCAAGTTCCATAAACTATTTACAATTACCGGTACACTTTTTTTATAATTTATGAGTGAATATGCGCACTTTTTATGTTAGTGCTGTCTAATTTATTTGTATGAATTATGTTTCATATCCATAAGATATAATTTAATTTTAATATTTTTTTTTTACGTTAATGTTGTATCTAATCATCAGATATATGAAACTGAAAGTAATCTGACATTTATGGTGACTTACTTTAAGTGGCATAGTTGGTGAATCTTCTGCTAGGCCAATTTCCTCGAGCGCAGCAACAGCCACAAAGTTCTTATTCCCACTTTGTAATTCTGTACACAGATTGAATATGTGCAAGATGTCTTTATCCTTCGTTAGTGCACTGCACTGAAGAGTGAATATCCGTGCCTGCGAAATAAAAAGAACTTTGATTGAATCTGTTACATCACCTTTTGTCTTAATGACAATTCTGGTGACACTATACTATAACATGGTAAAACTTGTCTGTGATTGTATTAAATATATTACAACTCCTTGCCATTTTCACCCTCAATCATAACATTTTATACACAATGGGTTGATTCAGGTTAGCATTCACAATTAAGGTAATTAAACTATAATGTGTTAATAGTTTTGGGACCTAAATAAAGACTGTCACTGCTCCAGCCTATAATAATACATAAAAAACTATAAGAACTCACCTCTTTTAACCTAGAGAACAACTTTGACTCTGAATAAGCTCCTCTCATGCTTGTTGATATTGTTGTTTTTGCAAGTGATTTTGAACTTCCTGGTTTTCCCAATATGAAAAGTGGCATCTTCAGGTCAGCACAAATGGCCATCATAAAAAAATTTTCTCTCAATGATTCGTTTCGTGAAATGTTTTCTTCCAGCTTTGCCTCATTGATAAAAATATTCTGAACTGCTTCAAGTTCATACAGAAAATCCTCCTGTCCCATACCCGGACAAACATCCTGTGAGATATCCATAATTTCTTTACGAAATTCTCTTCTCTCCTCCAAGGATACATGGTAGCATACACCTATGGTTTGAAATATTTCCCAAATCCCTCTAGTGCGATTGATTGCCGAGAAGTTGTGACCTTTTTCTTGAAGGAGATCAAACAAAACGTTTTTGTGCTCATAAAACCATCTGTAAACCTCTAAGCATCTTTCTACATCTCGAAGGCTAACAAACCTACACTCACTATTTTGATTCCTCATATATTGCTGTGCCTTGCAAATGATGCGACAGAAAATATCCAGATCTAAATCATTATTGTATACTTTTTTAGACATTTGCCGAATATACAGTTCTTCAGTGGCAGCATCGATTTCACCGAATTCCCAAACAAAGATTTGCATACTCGGTGGCATTGGGACAACTTTGTACAGTAAGTCCTGCATGGGCTCACCCTGGATTTGGTCAGATTGCTTAACATGTATGTTTCTTCCAAGACTTGATTTCTGAAGCTGTTGAATTGCTTTTTCTGACAGTTTTTTGTAAGGATTACAGGCGGCTATAACTTGAATATCACCTTCATCCAATAACTCTCCATCACAAGTTTGATCACACATCAATTCCTTAATTGCATGCACTGCTTCCGTAGTATTAACTTCATCAAAAAATAAATAGACTATCTTTTTTCTTGAATCTGGGTTTGATTTTGAACTGGATACACGACTGTCTTGTCTGCATTTATCTAGAGCTTTCCACACTGTGTCTTGAATATCTGAAATTGTTATTCCCCCGTAAATCTTCTTTGTGATAAACAACAGCTCAGCTTCTGATTTCAGTTGTAGTAATTTTTTCATGAATTCCATCATTCTTGTTTTGCCGCAGCCAGTTTCTCCCATTAAAATAACTGGAACTTTGCAACGCATTCGCATGTGAATTGCTATAAGTTTAAGGACATTGTCAGCTGTCAGTTCATAAGATGGATCAGGGTCAACTGCCGACGGAATTCCCATGACAAGACACAAAATTTGTAATAGCTCTGCTCGGCTTTTTGAGTTTAAGTTGATACCTAAAGCTTGATATCTGTTTAAAGAATTATGTAGTGAACGTGATTGTTGAGTATTACTCTCCATTATATGTTCAGATTGCACATTTATAAATGTCATGGTTTCCCCATCTTCATTGAAAAATATCATGGGCGGTTTAAGTCATACCATGTGCTTCCCGTAATTTTGTGATCCTTTCCTGAAAATCCATATGCGTTGAAAGCGAAATCACAGGACATTCTTACCATTAGTTTCATTGCTAAGTTTTTCAATCCAGGGATACCTTTTTGCCCACAATATACCGATCTTTCACATGTTTCCAGCTGAATGTTCATGAATCGTACAAAAGCATGCAGTTGTGCCCATGTTGGGTCGGGAATTTGGCAATTTTCGAGAAGGATTTTAATGCAATCGCTTTCATTTCCTTTGATTCCCTCAAAAAGAAAGTTATTCAAGTTTGATTGTCGGTGCTTGAAATACTGGTAGGGCCTTTGAAAATTCTGCAGACTCGAACTTCATGGTATCCATTCCAATCGCATTTTCTTCATTGGAGGTATGGTTAAATATTTCATGTGGCTGTAGAGTTGTAATACGTGGCAGAAGATTCAGAAGTGAGACATCAGAATGCTGATTAAAAGTTTTCAGAAATGATTTTAATTTCACAATTTGCATTTCAACAACACAGTTGATATTGGCGGAATGATTTGATAAATGGGATGTACCGGTAAATAAAAAACAGTGATACCTCAGTAATCGACTTAATCATATGAGTCAAAAATGTTATGATACTTGAACGAAATTTTGAGCTTGGACACCCAAGCCGAGCTGGTGCTCGAGTGAGTTAACGAGACCTTAACAGCTGCCCCTTGACAATTTATTAACAAACATCAGTTCAAGTCGGACTGTTAGACAGATAACAAGCTCTGAGAAATTTTTGTGATTTAGTGCTTGGCGTTGATCACGGTTTCAAAGAATTTGTGGTAAAGGGAAGAAAAAGGAGTAAACAGAATAACTATCAAGTTGAAAAATAAATTAGGGCAAATTACTATAATGTTCGATCTTGCCTTATAGTATGGCATGCAAAAATATAGGACGGGATGACAATTATTGGGTTTGACTACTGAGGTATCACTGTAGAAAAATGTTAGATATTTCTGAATTCTTAATTTCAGGATCAATTCAAAAATAATTTATTATTTTGAGCAATTGAGTCAGAAATTCAGAACTTCAGTATTAAAACTTACTGATTTCTGTTTATTTGCTATAAAAATTCAAGATTTTTTATGATAGATTTCAACTTTATGGTCTGTGAAATCGAACAGCAGAAAGTTTCTTTCAATATAATCATTTTTTATGATGCTTTAATATTGAAACAAGTAAGAAATACCAGCCTTTTTTACAAGATTGTCATCTGTAACTTCGATCACATAATAGTGGTTTGAATGTCTCTGCCATATCTTCCCATCATTTCCCTCAATGCTCCCCAGAATCAGCAAATTAAAGAGAAATTCTTCAATTCCGCTTTTAACCTTAATATCAATGAAATACAAAGAATGAATATTGCCCCTCTTTGTTTTTACCTCATAAAATTCAGAATAAAGAGAACGACATAATATTGATAAAGTTGCGGTTACTGATGGTGATTTTGATAAATGTCATGAAGAGAAAAGGAAGTTTTATTGTTAGGAGAATTCAAAAATATTGTGTCTAATTTATACTATAAAATAGATAGCAATTGTATGTGAAATACAAGACAGACATTTATGGATCTGTTGTCAAAGTCTTTTCACCATATCATCCAAACACTTTTCGAAAGCTCCTTTATACCTCCTTTATATGATAAAAATGACATTTGAGGTAATTTGTGTGGCATATTCTGACTTCTAAAAAAAAGTAGAGGAATATTCTGTCAGTGCGGGGCATCCTTAATAGAGTTAAGTATAAAATAATCTTTTTACCGCAGTAGAGATGTCCAAATGAACAAGATGTTCATGCGTAACTGGAGAATTTTCTGAAATTAATTTTCGTGTCGCTTGCTGGGATGTCAATACTTTTTCAAGAAATCTCACAGTTGTAAATCTTGGTTGAGTATCTCGCTTTTTAAGTTTGTTTTTCAATCTTGTTATATAAAGACTTTTTCCTGAAAATTTAAAGAATTAGGTTTAAACTTTTTTGGGTTTTCACAATGATGTGTGGACCTTACTTTAATTTGAATCATCAGGTTGATATGTTTGGTATATAATAATTGTGCTTAAATACTATATCAATCTTTTTGCCTATCTAATTGTGGATGTAATGTAATGAATGAATTAATTAGAAAAGGTGTGGCTCATCATGCTGAGCATTCAATTTCACAGCACCTCTTATTATCTGCATGGGTTCGTAGGTTGAAATCCTGTGGGGGGTAATTATGTGTGAGAGGGTTGCTGGACCCCTCATAGCCATATGCTGGTTCATATAACCACTGGCCGGTTACGGCTTCCTGCAGACCTTCACTTTCAAATTCATGCATCTGGAAACAAAATGACTTAGTAACTGATCTAATACCCGACACAGACAAAGAGGCCGGATAAAAGATTGTTGTTTGTTATATGATTAAGCCTTATCGGCTTTTCTCTCGGGGTTAAACTGATATACCTTATCTAAAATACTGCACTGTACATGAAAATAAAATAAACTCAAGCAATATTTAGAACTGTGTCAGCGGTTTCCTTCTTCTCAAATTAACCAATCTTGACTTTGTCTATTCTGGTTAAATAACGCCCAGTTAGGGTTTTGTTAGTTATCTCATTCTTGGTTTATTTGGCAATTTAAATATTAAAATTTTATTAAATGATTTTTTTGTCAATGAAAGATTTACAGTTTTAGTCATTCACCTTTTATTAAAGATAACCTTTCTGGTGCTTTTAGGCCTATAATTTTTTTGTTTTCTTGTTATTGATTGTACAGCATTGTTTTGGGCATTTGCAGAAATGATAACGAAGCGCATAAATTTAAAACTGCTATACAACATTATTGTCATACCAACTTTCAACAAAACCCGTGAGAAACACGTCTTTATAACATTGTGTGGATTTTGCTAGATAGATTTACTAATATGCACTCAGGCATAATGGTAATCTGGTATAGTCTTTACTATGCACAGGGATTAAATTGCTCGCACATGCCAGATTAACTAAACTGAAAACTCGTTTTTCGGGTACACCATTCAAAATTGGCACTTCTCCGCGGGTCGCTCATTTTTTCCTGAGGGCCACATTTAGCAGGCCTTTTTTTATTTTTTTGAGTTGAAGTGCTTATGATCCGTAATAAAAGAGAAAAGTACTGGCATGATTAGATATAACAGGTTAAGACAGGTCAGGTTCAAAGCTGGCATACTAGTACTAGATATACTATTTAGTCTGTATTATGAATTTCACAACCCAATGGCTAATAAGTAACAGCTTTTTGCTTTACCTGCTCCTGATGAGCTTGATGTCACAACTCGAACTAAACTTCTTTTGTCATCAATAGCTGCAGCACTTTTTTCATATCTTCCATCTGCTATCAAACAGCTTTGCAAGTATTCAGCGATTTTATTGTCTTTTTTTATTCGTAGTCCTTCAACAGTATTCTGAATTGCCAAAAAATTTTTATTGCCATGGAGTAAACCAATGCAAATGTGTTATGTTATGATACCCATTCAATTTTGGTTAGTGATATAAAGATTGTTAGTTGGCATTTCGTCTTGGTGGATTTTACATTTTATAAATTAAAATAAATCTATTCTTGCATTCCTACTTTGCAATTACACAAAAGCCATGAACAAAATCATCCAATAAAAAATTGTCTGGAAAGAAGTTCTTGTACCCTCAATTTCGGGAGCTGACATTAGAACCCTCAAACTATATACGAAGTGAAAACAGACTACCAGATTGTGATATCTGAGTCTAAATTGTCAACTGAAGATACGTCACAACTGCATTTTGAATTTTGTTTCAATCTGGTATTTTATGTTATGTAATCCAATATGTTGACTTGCCGGTTCGAAGCATAATGCAAGATAACTTTTGATATTCTGACATAGAATAACCAGTTGGTAGTCAGGGTCCTTCAATTCATCTTCTTTCAAATTGTGATAAATTCTCTCCACATCTTTCATTACAGAATTTCCTAGACAATCAATAGCAGCTAGAACGAATAATGGTGTCCCTGAAAAATACAACCAATCTATTTTGAGACTACATATATAATCATTTGAGTAAGCGTTATGACTTCATGGTGTGCCTAATTAATGTAGATTTTCATTTTTTAAATATGTGTAGATTTCTCGTGAATTTTTACAAGTTCAAGCAAGGGTGTGCAAAATAACTGGGAGAAGTCACGGGCCGCACTTTTATTCAAGTCTTTCCAGTAGTTGCCAGCACGGAAAATTGTTTTTTTATGTTATTGATCTTACGGCATTGCTAGTTTTTATATCATTATGTATTTTGCCAGTTAGTTTTTTTATTATGACAGTGTAAAAGGCTCCGCGACGTAAAGAGATTGGAATTGCTCACTCAATAAACTAAACTAAAAACTCGTTTCGCGGGCTGACCATTAAAAATTGGCACTTCTCCACCGGTCGCACAATTTTTCCTTGTGGGCCGCAGTTTGCAAACCCCTGAGTTAAGGCAATAATAACTTGTTATCATAACACAAAATTGTATCACCTTTGTTTTCGCATTTTTTCATTACCCTGTGCAAGAACCTCTCAACAGTTTTAGTTGATGTTGTTTCGCTACAGATAAGAACTTCTGAAGATGTTGGGAGGGATTGATCACTGCCTTCCATGTAAAGTGATAAAATAGTTTCATACATTTTCTGATTGTGGCAAATAAGATTGGGAGTTCCACGCTTAAGAGGCAAGGTTAGCGTGCGATTTAGTAATCTGAGATTTGTTTGATCTCTCAGTAGTTGTAGAAGTCTTCCTAGTTGACCAAGTCCTAAGCCATGTCCATTCTGAAATAAAATTAGAATTCCGTGTTTTGAATTTATGTTTATGCGATAGATAACACACAAAATAAATTCTAGCTAAATGGTATGGTGCACTAACAGTAGAAAAAAGTTGTTTCTTGTTCTAAGCAGAAGAAGGAACATTCATTGGCATCAAAAGATTTTCAAACATAAGCTGTAAGCCCCCTTCATTGACTTATGTTAGGCGGGGAAACTTACATGCTTTTGTAGTATTTGCATTGCCTGCATTAATACCTATGCATATCTTCATACCATAGGCATGGGTTTGTAAAATTTTTTGTGAAATTTAACGCTACCTCCATGAAGTTTTGACATTTTTTTTTAATAGATAGAATTATGTTGCTTCTATTTGTTTGTTGCTTTGCTTCCTTTCTTTCACTAGGTGAAATAAAAGCTGAAAATGAAAAAAATATACACTCAGTGAAAATGTTAGATGAGTTATTTATATGTACCGATTTACTGAATATTGCCAATGAGGGGGATACCTCATTAACAGTTATAAAACATCATAGCTTTTTTTTAACTAGAATTGCAATCTACTGGGTTTGAGCAAAAGCTTAGATATACCAAAAAAAGAGTAAATTGTTTAATCAGAGTAAAATTGCTGATGCTGACCCTACTGTATTTTCTTGATACATTCCATCCAAATGAAAAGCAAACAAAAAATTATATCATCTGGTTGATATCAATCGACTTGCATGTACAATGTAAGCTGCATACCGTAATCTAATTTTAAGCCTGAATATTATTACCATGGTATCTGGGAGACTAGAGGCATAGTCAATAAGAATAGGAATTTTTATGCTTATGTAATATATGTTTGTCCATGGACTAAAAACAGATTTAAGCACTTCAATGAACTGAGTGGTTTTGTAAATATCTGTAAATTATTGAAACAAATATCAGTTGATTCAGAAAACATGAGCAGATGAATTCAAATCATAAAACTTCTTCTGAAAAAAAGGACTGTTCAGTCTGGGTGAAATTGGGTGATAAATTTGTTACCTATATCTTCGTCAAACTTTTCTGAGAGTTGTTGAATAAGTTTTGCTTTTTTCTTGCTTTTCATTATCCATCTTCGGCATTTTATCTTGTCTACCCCTTCTTTCTGTATAGCAGCCTTTGCCACTTCACGTGAGCAACGTGCTTCTTTACGTAAGGTTTCTACAAGTTTGACTTTTTCTGCATGATCTCCTGTGCTACCATCTGTGTATAAAAAGCAATGGAAGTACTTCATAAAACATTTTGTTTTGAGCAACACACTGGTTCAACCAGGGTTCCGCTGGCACATTCCCTGGGTTCCGCAATTTTTCATTTCAATTCCGGGAATTTATATTAATATATTATGCCGTTTGAAAATAACCAAGTTAGGTTTTCCATTATTATTGAAATTGCAACATCTTAAAGATTTTTTGACAGTATTAGGTTCAATTTTATATATATTTATAGTTTATACAATTAAACAATAGTGCAGCGGATCGATCCCCTAGCTTCAGGAATGTTGGAGTCCGTTCCACCAGTAGGGATAAAAATAACTCATTTAGGGTGTAAGAAATTTTTGATGTTATATAGTACCGTCAATTTTGAAGATGTAGATACTGCCCCAGTTCGTTTAAATTCAAACGAAAAATGCTCAATTGTCATAGCATAGGTTTGTTGACTCGTAAGTATAGTAAGAATGTTGAAAATGTACCCTGATTGCTGTCTTCTCCTACTCTTGATGTACCATTAATACTATCGATAGCCTCCTTTAACAAGTTGCGCATATCGTTGATTGTGTCTCTTCTAACGATAGACAACAGCGCGCATACCTGTTTCAAGAGTAAAATGAAGATTCATGAGATTCACCTGAATAGTATGAACTAGAGATTCCATATTATGTACCTTCATATTCTATTTGTTATAAATTACTGTTATGATATTCATGAAAATTTCTTTGTATGAAAACTTTGTATGACATAATTTATAAGAATTTGGGAATGAATCATAAAAAATTTTTTTAAAAAAATCACTTTTCAAGAAATTACAAACATTTTTACGCCGTAGATGATGTACAAGTGATCGCTTTTCACAACTCTATTTGAAGCTTGTTCAAAAAAAAATTAGGAATATTTTTGTGATAGTATTGGCATTTTTACATTGGTGTTTTAACTGCCTTCTGTGCTAGAGTGGCTTTTTGGTGAACTTCTGCGAAGATAACTAACAGTTGGGGTTACGTGAAACTAACCATCTTTTCTCGCCATATGCTTTACACTGGTGGATCCGTATGCGTATAACGCAAGGATGCTGTAGCAAGAGTGAAAATGACTATTCTTTCTAATTCAGCAAATATGTTGTGATAATGAAAACTAAATTGCTTACAACTCAGGCCACAGCCAGCGCAGCTTACCTGATGTGGGAGGGGTCCGTCCTCATTGTTCTTATTGTAAATAGCCAGCTCTTTGCTTAGGTATGACATCTGCTCTATGTTGAATTCATTTAAAAAATAATGCTGCTTTCTTTGATTATCAACATGCCGTTGCCACCTGATATAAATACAGAAATCATATAGTTTGAACAAGTAACACATTAGACCAATTTTATCAGGATAAAACTTAATGATCGAATGATGGTGTAAATTTTCGTTTATGACTTAAGAAACATTTTCTATTACCGTAATAATGAATTACTCTATTAGCATTCTGATTTACTTTTTTAGTGTTTCCTCTAGAAGAGAAGCGAGAGATTCCACATCTGAAAGCTCACATTGATTTTCTTCCATAGGATCACTTCCTTCAAATTTCATTTCAATTGTGAATCTCTTGTCTTGCACTGGACTGAAACGATTTGTAAAATATTCGAATAAGAATAATTTCCTGAAAAGTATGAATGAATATATACAAACATATTTTCATAATTCTCGTCACTGAGAAGTTGCTCTAGAAAACTTCAGATGATTAGAGTAGAATATCAAGGATCAAACAACACTAAATATTCCGAACTAAAACGTGTCAAAATCTACAATACATTATGCCCAGGGGCGGACACTTTCCATAATTTTGGGGGGGCGAACTTGGATCGCCTACCGAAAAACACCGCGCCGTGTATCGTCACGTAACAATAACCTGTCGATGTCATTCTCTAAGTATTAGCATGTCATTTTGCTACTCATATATCGATTACCTAGGCTGCTTTGCTCGGACACGGAACTTGCGCGTCACTGAACCAATTTCTTGAATTCCGCGAGAATTAGCCCACGGCTCTTGCTAACAAACAGAAAATAACAAATTTGAGGAGTCGTATTAGGTTATTGTTTCAATTCCTAGTTCTGCATAAAGCGCACTAACGCCGTTTCGTAAAATTAGAAATGCAAAACAAGGTAACAAGCTATTGTGCGAATTTTTTTCCTAAATTTTACCAAGGAATTATCATTTGACTAGTAGAATTGCCATTATTGCCGATTTATTAAATCATCATTTGAACTCGAAATAACATTCAGGATTCACGCAATGACTTTGCAGGGTTTTTATTTATAATTTAATACGAAAATAAACAGGCACAAGTTCAGGCGCGCAGCCAGGATTTAAAAAAAAGGCGGGGTCAAAGTCGGAACTTCCCATTGCCGTCTGCAACAAGCACCGCGATTACGCGCTCGTTAAAAGAGCCGCCTATTTAAGCGTATAATGATTTTTCTGTCGATCCATGACAGCCACGAGATTCTAAAATGTCCTTATATATTAATTTAATTGTGTGCAACGTAACTCGCGGTTGCGACTTCTTACGTCAAAATAAAAATAGTACTAGACTAAAATACCACGGCGATCTGTGGACATAAAAATATGAGATAAGCTGCCTGATATATTTAATTTTGATATTTTTGCAATCTTCCGAACTCGTTATCGCCGTTACAAAAATCTCGATATCTGATATAAAATCCCATATAGTACAATTTTAATTCATACAATGAAAATAATTATAAAGTATACTAGTAAATCAAAAATACAAATTCACCGCCTCGAAATCCACGCGGAACAGTCGCCGCGATTACGCCACTTGTTAAAAGAGCCGACTTTATCAACGAAAAATGATTTTTCACTTGTGCAAAGTAATCAATCAAAGACCGATACGGGCATATTCAAAATGTCTTGATTTATTAATTTAATTGTCTTCAATTTAAACTGCGGTTGAGTCGACAAAACAAGAGCCACTCTAAAACACGACGGCAATCCGCGGACATAAAAATGTGTGGTAAACTGCCCGTTTATATATTGTTTTGATCCGTATTTTTGCTATTTTGCGCATTCGATAAATTTGAGATGTACTTGTCACACTGGCTCCGCTCAATCGCAATGTTGTCACTCCGATTATTTTTAAAGATAAAACCTTTCGAAAAATCCGTAAATTTTCTGTCAATTCTCACGTAGTAAAAGTTATTTCAGTACAATAAAAATACATAAATAAATACAAAAAGTGATCGAATATACTTTAATTATCTTATATATCATCACAAACCGGGGAAAAGTCGCGTTCTCAGCTTTGTTTAATGTTAACACGAAAATTTTCGACGTCAATTTAAAAGTAATGGATAAAAAGGCAAATCCCGCTCACAATTGACCGTGTTTCGATTTTAGTGACGAAATGTTTTTAAAGGTCAAGCAAACATAATTTGTGCCGTAGGCACACGAAATTTTGCGATTTTCGATGCCTAGAAAAGCGTTTTTAGACTGTCGCGGGCCTCAACAAAACTTATATTGTTTACAGTTTTATTTTTAGTATTTTATATTGCCGCTTTTCAACTTTTCGACATAGTAAATGCTTTGATCTTTGCCCGCAAATTATGCTGGGCCTTGCACGAAATCCATAACGTGAAAAGATACGTCCAGCGGTGAAAATTGTTTATAACAACTTTAGATCTAGTTAATTTTTTAGCGATAATAATTAATTGTTGTAATGAAACACAGTTTGCCTCTTTCACTTCTCTCGCAAGTGCCAACAATAACACTATTGAAAGATTTTGACAATGAGAAAATCATATTAAATTGTACAAAAATGAATTAGTTGTGCAAAACCGTGGCGCGTGATCGGCGGTGCGTTTGAAGACGGAGTATTACCCGCGCGGGCGCGCATGTTTCACGAAAATGTGAGGTGCTCCGAAGGCGCATTATTGTAAGAAAACAGTTATAATATCGGTAACTATTAACCGTTTTATTGCGCTTGACTATCGCACTTTTCGGAAATGATAATTTTGTAAGGCGGAAACAACATGTATTAAATTTTTTCGCGAAATTATTGGGGGGGGGGCGACCGCCCCCCCTCGCCCCCCCCGGGTGTCCGCCCCTGATTATGCCCCAAAAAATAGCGTATTCTTCATTGTAAAATTCCACTTTATCAATTCTTTTTTTTTCGTTCAGCTAGTTCAAAATGATGATATAAATTCAAAATGTCAAATATTCTAATTGCGCTATCTTCTTTGAAGCATGCTGAATGGTCAATATTTTAATTTCTTTTATGGATATGTGTCATAGATGTGTATGCATACTTACTAAATGTTAACAATACATGTATCAAAGAGTGTACATCTGGCTTGACTGAGCTCTACCAAAACCTTTGCAAAGCGTTCGGATACTTTGAGTCTTGCACTGAATATTTGGGAAGTATCATTTGCTTGATCAGATCCCTCAGTCATTAATGAAATCAGTGCTTGAATGTCCTGCAGGTCATCGTGCAGTATTACTTTTCTTTCTGAAATAAAAATTGCAACATTTGAAATTTTGTAAATACTCATTGTGATTTGAAAAATTGGCGCTTCAGAAGTATGTGTACCAATATGGAGGTAATAATTTTGTTTGCACTTGACTAACACAGATAGTCCCCGAACTCCTCATAGAACTAAAATCTAGAAAATCTGAATAAATAATGGCCTAACCCCAACCTGGTACACATACTACGAAGTACCAAAAACTGTAATATGGGAGAGATCTTATTGCATGGGTATCAATGTTTACTATTAAGGTTAAATATTTTTTGTGCTTAAATGAAAAATGTTAATTTGAATATGACATGAGAAACATAAATTGACCTTGATGAGTATCTGAAGGCGGTACAGTCACACTGATATCAGCCATAAATGATGCTTGATTGTCAGGTAATACAGAGATACTGAAGATTCCATTTTCAGCGATTTCCTTCGCCTTCACATACACAGATTCATGTCTAACAGATATATTTTGAAATTCCACTTCTTTAAAAAACGTCAGTTTTCGTGCGGAATTCTCCTAGGAATGAATATTAGTTAATGTTTAACTATTTATCTTCATTTAATATTCCATCAAAGATTTGTTTTTGATAAAACAAGATGTCTCTAGATTTTAGATTATCAAGTGAACTTTGTCTCTGAACTACCTTTTAATAACAAGAACTTTGGCATCGACAAGACTTCTTCAAACTACTGTTCAGAATGCTTAGTCACGCCTTTTTAAATTTATGTCGAAAATTTTAAATTGGATTATCATGATCACAAGTTTACCTTTTCCTAGTTTACCACAAAAAAGTTTAGTGATACATCACTAATTAATCACCAAATAAGATAAAATCTGATGAATAAAACGACCAACAGTAAGCAATATTTTACTTTGATAGTTGCTCATTAACGTAAGATAATTGATAGTGAAAAATAAGACCTACCCACTGTTGCCCTATTTCGGGATTTGCTTTGAAATTTCTTCCCACTATTTGACACCTTTTAATTAATTCTTCAAATGGAATTCTTTTGTTTTGAATGTCAAAAAGCAGTGGTGCGAATCCATTCACAGCATTGGTGAAATCTCTCATTATTATTGTAAAATTATTATGATCTTTACTGTATTTCGGACTGTCTGTAACTTTTGAGTATGAGTTCGCGACCAGTTCGCACATAACATTGATTTCTTTGGCATCTGCAAAAATTCATTAATTGCTTTGTGAAAGGTTAGGTTATTTAACTTTTTATTCTTATTTCAGATTGTTATGGAAGTACTTTTAAAGGTGTTCATGCAATTTTTAGCAATGCAACAGACAGGTTATCAAATTTGAAATAATCTTTTCAAGATATTGTTACCTCGCATTGTTGATTGAATCCAGTATCTGAAATCGTTATGTTTTAAAAAATTTTCAAATAATTCGACCATATCTGATATGAGAAGATCGGAAAGCATTGGTGCAACAAAGAAAACGTTTTTCTTGATATCTTTCAACATGATGTTTTTTGAGTAAATTTTTTCCTGAAAAAAGTGGCAACATATCGGGCATATTATACGGTACCAAATGAGTGGATTATTAATAATCTTTTCTAGGTTAGAATAGATACGCTACTTTGGGCTATTAGTTAGAGTTATAATATGATGTACAATTCGTACAAATGTGGGGAACAGCATTACTGAGATAGCTCTTGCAAAAATATGACTTACACTAATGTATTTGACATGAAGGTACAAGGATTCCTCTGCAATTCCAAAGCAGTCTTTCATTTTCATAATTAAACAGGCCGCAGGAACGCAGCGCGAGAGCTCTTCATAGACTTCTATTTGCGCGAATACGTTGACAACTTTAGATGAAAATTTCTCTGTAATATTGTTCAACTATCATGTCATAGCCATAATTTAATTTTACACAGGCATTGCCATCAGATAAATAATTTTACATCACAATGAAGATTTCAAAACTTGGGTTTTATTCTGATGTTAGCTACTAAGTTATGGCTAAAGATGGATTATTGTGGCTTGATATTTCAATCATTAATTAAGCACCCACTCTTCCTTCAAACCTAACTTACTCAACGTTTCTGCTTTAAGACCAGCTGTTCTGCAATATTCCAAAAAGTCTTTAATGCCAGGCAATACATTTGGTGCACCATATTTGAACATGTGCTTTCCAGGTCCATGAATCCAGCAATCCAAATCCCCGAGATGTATATCACCTGTGCAAGTATCATTATGCATGTCAGAAACTATAAGGTTCAACATTAATCCAGTAAGTTCAACGTAGCCAAGTTTAGAATGAATTTTTTTATCAACCATATTCAAAAGCTGAACTACAGAAAAATCACTTCTAGATGTCGAAAACCTCATCTAACAGAACCCACAATTCTTCGGTATAAAGATTTGACTTTGGCAAAGTTGGCAGTTGTTTCATTATTTATTGTAATGAAATTTTGCCAAGAAGAATTCACATAGAAATACAATTTTTAGGCAAATTATTAACCTTCGAACATGTGCTCAACATTCTCCAGGACTTTGTTTTTCAAGTCTTTTATTTTCTCGATAGCAAATTTCAATGTGATTTTTTCGTTTCTTTCAATTTTAGTCTTTTCCATTTGGCAATTTCAGTAATCCACAGACATGAAAATATGAAATCCATCTAACAAGAAAAAATTATATTTCGAGCATTGATGTATACTAATGTTGCAATTTATATGTATACTTTCTAGATGACTAACTTGATGTTAACTACGAAATCGTTTTACGAAATTGGTATTTTGGGCGTTGTAATTGAACTTCTTTAGCATCGATTGACAAATTATCAGTATAGTTTCATAAATGAGCTTTTCATAATGTTCTCATACAAGATAATAATAGTATGACATCATAAATCCCATACCTGATGGTTCAGGACAAAATTAACATCATCGCTGAGCATTTCTACAGCTTCTGATAATGGAAGTGTGGGAATCAAGTCTTTTAAAGAACATTGTAATATATTTTTTGGAATACTTCTGAGTAAATTGATCTCCTCAAGTTTGACTCCAGCTGTATAAAAAAATTCAGTTTTTTTTTCTAACCTAAGAAAGTCATCAAATTGGTAGTTAGTTATGCTATACTATAGAAGAGTAGTCAGAAAACTTTTTTTCAAGGTGCTTTTGGAACATTTGATAAATAATTATGCAAGGTGTTATTCCATTTTATATCCGCTGCGTGACACACAAATGAAGTGGGGTTTTCAGGGTCGTATTCATGCCATATGCATTTTAAATGTTCATATGAATCTTGCAATAAATATTTTGTGCAGAAGAAAAATGATTATTCTCTGAAAAATTTACTTTTTTAAGTAGACTATTGTGTAATTTTTAGCCCTTTGTAATTTTGACTCTGCCCCCAGTTATAGCACTGTGTTGCGTATAGAGTTACTAACACCAATATACATGGTCTGTATACTGACCGAGTTAAACAGCATGGAACTTCACAAACTATACTTTATTGAATTGAATTTCAATATTTTATGGTCGTACTTAAACAAAACTCGTGTGACGAGGCACATAGTCTGCTGATATGGGATGATTAAGAATGGGCTCTTGATTTTGTGAAAAACCTACTGTGGGATATAGGTGTCTCTTACGATTGTGTAATCTGATCTTGCTTAGAAAAACAAGTAACTACAGCATGGTAAGAAGTAAGAACCAGAATAAAAATTTCGGGAAGATTTTAAGATTCTGAAATTATTATGCCCCATTACACTTTCTTGCCATATTTGATGACCCACCTGAAGCCATGAAGTTGATTACATTTAGAAAAAGTGAGGAGTTGTCAAATATATTTTGTAATTTTTCCAGTTGCTCTGCTCGTAGTCTGCCACTATCTGCATCAGTTTCCTATTAAAAAAATTGCTTTTCAATTCACTTAAGTTGGAATTAATATGTTTATTAAAATCGTTTGCTTATTGAAAACTTTTGCACCTGGAACACTAACACTAACTAATCTTTTTATGTAATTGCTATTTTATGACAGAAATTGTTTCGTAGGGGGGGCGTAGACAAAAAAAAACATACCATACTTTGCCTTAATATCTGTTATTTGTAGCTTATTGTTACCTAGTTATTTTTAAGGTGGGGCATGACAAATTTTAAGAGGGAGGCAGGCTTAAAAAGTTTGATTTAATTAAAGCGTTAGACCTATTAAGAGTGTTGGCATTGTAGATGGACATCTGGAACTGGTCGGGTGGAAGTTGGTACAGGACCTTAATTGGAGCAAAAGTCACACATAGGCTTGGTTTAAAGGCCCTTTAGTAGTTTTAGGTTCCTGAGATATTATTATCCAATCACTGAAATAAATGTACAGATACTTCAAACCAGGAGTGTGCCACATTTTTGTCAGATGGTCATATAACCAACTTCAGACATATAACTGGGCCATTCAAAATATTTACTTCACCCACGGAGGAAAGGAAATATCACTTAGCCCTATGGTAATAAATGCACCAGGCCGCATCGAAAAGAGCAAATTGCCGCTGTGTAACACAAAAAACTTTACCTGATTGCAGGATGGCGATATTGCAGCATAGATACTGGAGGCAGTAGAACTCTTCCTCATTATCATACGAAGCAACTCGAAGCTGACATTCCCATCCAAAAGCCTAAAGTATGTGTTCCGAAACATCTCCGTCACTTTGAATATTTCAGACTGTTTTTTCAATTCCAAGGTTTTATCTGTGGAGAAAATAATTTTCCTGACATCAAACTGGGGTTTGTTAAACACATGATAGGTGATACCAATAAAGAAAACCATTTTAATATCAATAAAAGGAAATAACACTAATTGTTTTCACAAAATGAAAAAACCAGCTTATGCTTACAACATTGTTTGTAAAATTGCTCAGATCCTTCCCAATCCAAAAGAAACTCCAAATAAATTTTATCAGGGGTCCATGTTGGGTTTTCTTTAGTTAAATGTTTTATACTTTTTTCGAAAAATTGTTCAAGAAATTTGTCCTTAGTTTCTTTTCGCAAAATTCTCAAGATCTTAAAGTTAGAACTGCTCCTCTGTGTAAAGAAAAAAAAAAGTTAAAATATGTCACCTTTATTCTATCTCAAGCCATTTATATTCCCATTGATTGTATGTATAATTTACCATTTCAATAAATATAGTCAAGTTAAATGTCTACGACTATGTCAGATTTTCTTGACTATATTAACCAATTCCAAACTTGGGGGGATAATACTGTGTTTATTTACTCAAAGGAAATAATGAGTGTTCAGTTGGTATAACAAAGTCCGTTTGATTGATACCTAATAATAAAGGTGTCGATACTTTGTTTGTCAAACTTTTCCTATATATTTGGATATCTGTTTCGGGAAAAATATCTGGACCTCTTCCAGTTATCCCACTCCCACTAATACCAATAATCCTAATTTATTTTTTGCTTGATAATGCTAGAAATTAAGAAAAATAAAGGTGAATGCATTGATAAAGTTGAATAGGCCCCATAAATAAAATACTTTTATTAGTGAGCGGGAGTTTTCATACAATAGAGGGGGGGGGGGGCTGGAAAAGGTTCAAATATCTATTAAATTTATAGCTGATTAAATCATATCTCAACGACATTGTGAAACGTTTTATTAATGCAAATAAATGGTTTCATAATCATTCTATTTTGGCATCATATCAAGAATGTAAGACGTCTCCCGACATCTAAGTCCAAATTTTAATTGAATAATGGGATTATTACTACTCACCTTCATAATATTAATTTCAACACAATGATAGGCAACACGTTCCAGCACTTCGTTTAGTATTGGCAATATATCTGAGGGAACACAATTTTCAACTTTTGTTAAAAATTCTTCATATTTGTCTTTGGATATCTATAAAAAAGAAGATAGGCATTCTATAATATGAATGAAATTTAATTAAAATAGGTCGACCTTATTTCTACACTAAATTTGCTGATCGATCAATTATTTATGTCTCCGCAATTGAGATATGCCTAGCTGTTGAACCTTTTCTGTTTCAAATATTTTCGAGGTGGTTTTACGAAAAATAAGTAGTAACAAATACTCACCAATATTAACAAATCCTCAATACTATGGAGAATATCATTTTGCCATGAGGTTCTACTCCAAATTTTCATAACAAGTCTGTTTCCCCAATCAATACGCAGAATATCATTCCAAAACTGTCATATCAGATTTATTAAAAATAAAGCCACTGACTTATAATCATAGATCATTTCGGTATGTTTTGAGCATTTTTCTTGATAATGACAACCATTATTGTGAATAATTAAAAAGTAATTTAATGAACTAGGATTACTATATAACAAACATGTACCGTATATATTGTCTAAACCAGTGGTTCTCAAACGGTGGGACGTGCCCCTCAAAGGAGCGTAAACAATTTTTGAGGGGATGGGAACCTAATTAAAAATAAAAACATTTGTTAGATTTGATCTTGCCCGCCTTATTTTGGATATTTACATTTCTTATTTTATCAGCCAAAAACAACTGCACTAATAAAAATAGTAACAAAATTTTCTTGTTTTTGAAACATTTCATTTATTTTATTATTTACGTTCCATCTGCGTATTTTCAACTTGTTTTTTGAGGAAACCATTTTGCCTCATTAACTGTTATTTGCAGCTTATTGTTAGCTAATTATTCCTAGGGTGGGGCGCGAGACTTGATGAATTCTCAAAGAGGAGCGCGGCTGAAAAAGTCCGGGAACCACTGGTCTAAACTCTTCTGGTTAGTACAATTTGGGGTACTCCCAATGCATACCAGGTTAGGGTTAGGCCATAATTTTATTCCGATTTTCCTTGTTTTAGTTCTATTACGAGCTCGGAGACTGTTAGTGCTAGACAAGTGAATATCCCCCTGTTCATAGGTTTCAATCCCGTAATACAAATTGTTGTAATATGGGCGGACAAAATTAGTTATCTCCATATTGGGACTCATACTTCAGGAGATTCTTCCATCCTGATATACCAATATAATTATATGGGTATCTGAATGTACTGTCAGAATGTATTGAAATTACACTTGAATCTTACAGCAAACGAGACATGAAGCATATTCATTTACTTGTGCTGGATACTTGGTCTCGATGTTTGGCCTTATTTTGCGTTGGTTTGCTAGTCTTAAGACAACATGCAAATGCTCGCCCGTTAGCCGTGGGAGGAGGGCTAACTTTCATACTTGAAATAAAAAACGGCTCGCAAATATAAGAACTGCCAAACATCGCAGGTATGCGACGTGAATGTGCCATTAGCTTTGCAAACCTTTCTTCGGGCACAATGGACAGACCGAAACTCGTTTATTTCGTCACAATGAACATACGAAATGAAATTATCGTATTTATAACCATAGAATAAAACATGAATATGGATAATAGGAGGAAATTTTTGCTTCACTTTTCACAGTTTGTCGGATCGGAATCTGATGAGAGATAAAAACATGCTAAAAACTTACTAATAGTTGACATCGTACTATTATAGTTTTTTGTGAAAAAAATCCCAACCATGACGCGGGCCGCAAAAAAATGCCTGGCGGGCCGCGTGTTGGATACCCCGGCTCTACAGTATATATGTTTTTTTCTTCCTGAAATCTGTTTTGCTCTGCCAAAGGCATGAGCAAGTGGTAATTGTTATATACAACGGTAATATGTTGTTGAAATTACTGGGATTTTTCGCTCAATTTGTATAGTAAATAATGTTAATTCGTTCACCAAGAAAACTTACGTGTATATGATTTTCAAACGAACCCGGAGCAAACAGATCGACTTTGTTTTTTTTGCTGTTTTTTGTTTTTATCGAAGCGAGGAGTTGTGGCAGCAAGGTTGTCACTATTTTGTAGTCTGCCACACTTGAATGCTGAAAAAAAATACTAATTAATTCATTTTCTGTCGGAGTGGTTAGGTTGATGAACATCTTTCTCTCATTGAACTAAAATTTGCATTCGGTTTCTAGTAAAACAAACTACTAGCACCACCCTTGAGCGTGTATGGAATGACTTTACC